AGATGCTTAGAGGGGGAAGAAAGATCAGGAAATTGCAGGAGTGCAGTAAGGTGCAGGAAGGAGCAGGAAGGAGCAGAAGGAGCAGGAAGGAGCAGGAAGGAGCAGGAAGGAGCAGGAAGGAGCAGGAAGGAGCAGGAAGGAGCAGGAAAAGTGCAGGAAGGTGCAGGAAAGTGCTGGTGGGAGGGTGTCATGGGGTGGGTAGTGAAGGGCAGGTGGATGGGCTTTGGATTGGAGACGGTTCAATCGTAATAGTGGGCGCTTGGATGGACCTTGGGCAGGTTACGGAAGGGTGGGGGCTGCTGAACGGGCAGCAAAAGGTTCAGGCGGGCAGGGGAAGCGACAGGAGACAGACGGCTCTACCCAGAGGTTTGTTGAGGGGGTACAGGGTGGAATGATTGAGGTATAACTTCTGAGTTGACTCAAGAGAGTGATAAGAGACAGCCCTACCCAGAGGTTTGTTGAGCGGGGTACTGGGTGGAATGCTCGAGTCGACTGAAAGTACACAGAATGGATGCCTCACAGGTGGTAGTGCTGTGATTTCTCTGAAAGGGGCTGGACCGGAAGGGTAAGAATGGGTACATGTCAACATATATTTGTATATGTTATAGGTTAGGTAGGTGCATGCTCATAGAGGGTACAGCACCATAGCACAAAACCTCGTATTTCACAATCAAACTCACATGGTATCACGGAAGGGTAGGTCCCCCTCCCCGCCTACGCTTTCGCCCATAGCCCTAGGCCTAGCCCTAGCCTTAGACAGCGTCCTAGCCCACGCCTCGTCACGCCACGCTGGCCCCGTCCCGTCGCGCCACGCTGGCCCCGGCCACGTCACGCCGTGCCGGCCCCGACACGCCGCGCTGGCCCCTTTACGACACTCCGGCCCCGTCACTCCGCACTGGCCCCCCTCATGCTGCGCCGGCCCCGTCACTCCGCGCTGACCCCGTTACGCCGCGCTGGCCCCGCCTTACTGCGCCGCGCCTAGCTGCCGAGCCACTACGTCGCCGAGCTGCTGAGACGCGCCGCCGAGCTGCTGAGCCGCGCAGCCGAGCCGCCGAGTAGCCGAGCCGCCGAGTAGCGGAGCCGCTGAGCCACCGCTGCTCTCCAACGCTCTCTCCTCCTCCTCCCCTAGCTGCGGTGAGCTACTGCAGCCGTGGCGATGGCGGACGATGTGCTCCGCCTAGACGCGGAGGGTCGGGCAATCGACTTTGAGGCATGGCTCGTCGACCTGCGCCGCTCGCTGATGGGACAGCGCCAGGATGGCCAGTCTCTGGCCTTTCATGTCGACGGTAAAATCCCCTGCCCCAACCCGCCTGCTGCCCTCTCTGACGCCCCCACGCCCGCTGAGCGTGAGGCCTTTGTAGCTGCTGAGCTCGCTCGCTCCGTCTGGAGTCGCGTGGCGCAGTTGCGCAGCTTGCTATCAGTCGCGCCCTCCCCCTGTGAGAGTACGACCCCGTTCCATTCCTTTCTCCTTTTCACCTTCCCTTTCCATTTCATTCCTCTTTTTATCCTGATTCATTTGGTCTTTATCTCATTCCATTTGGATTCCTATTTCCCCTTTTTCATAAATCTTTGGTTATCCTGTTATTATCATTATATCACCGACAAGGCTCGGGTCGGGATGTACTGGCGCACTATATCTAGCGTAATCCTGCCGTAATCCCTTAAAGCCAATAGCCTCGCGTGGCTATACGCATGGTGATTCTATTTTCTAGAAGGGTCTATTCCCTTGGGATAGGATCAACCTGGTTGCCTGATGTACTTTGAAGTATAAAAGCACGTTGTATCAATCGATAGTGCAACCTTTCCTCGACATTCGATCCTGTACACTTGGTAATCAGAGCTTTTCTCACTCGGCCGCACTCAGCTAAGCAGCAGCAGCGGGGATCCTGCCTCGAAAAACCGCCGGGGCGACCAATTCGACGCCGATTCTGGTAAGCACCAGCTCCGCGTTTTTTCGAATTACCCCCTCCGCGCGTGTTTTGAACAGATGGCGAACTTCGACAACCCGAGGTTACAGCAGCTCTTCGCGCGCATGCAGCCCTTCAGGAAGGAGATGCGAGCGGATCGCGAAGCGTGGCGAAACGAGTTCGAGCGAGTAACTCGACTCGCCGGAGCGCACACGAAACGACAACGGCGACGACGCAGCAGTCGCAGCATTTCTCGAGGCTCCGAAACCGCGCCCACCTGAGCCGTTCGATCCGAGCGATCGAAACTCCGACGCCCGCAGATGGATCGCCGGGATGGAGATCTACTTCGCAGCCGTCGGATGGAGCTCGCCAGTCTGGGACGGTCAACGCGTACTCGCGGCGACACTGATGCGAGGGCCGGCACTCGAGTGGATTGGCGGCAACACACCTTCATCCACGGTGAAGCCACGTGGCAGCAGTTCCGCACCGACCTGCTGAAACGCTTCGAGCCGATAAATTCGGTTTCCTTGCCCGGGAAAAAATTCATCGCCATCGACAGTTCGGGAGTGTAGCGCAGTACACGCAGCAGATGGAGGAATTTTATAACCGCATTCCCGACCTGACCGAAGGGGAAAAAGTACATCGTACCTCGCCGGGCTGAAGACCGAAGTCAAACGACAAGTGGCAGCGTCAAACTACGCGAGCTACAGTGACGTCGTTCGGCGCGGACGCTTCGACATGGTCAACGCCGGACGGACGCACGTCGGCAGTACGCGACAGGGCGACCGCTCGGCTCACCCCACGTTCGCCGACCCGATGGAAGTCGACAGTTCGAGGGCGGCCACGTCCGAAAAACACCAACTACACGTGTGATTTTTGCGGGGTGCCGGGTCATCGAATCTTCGACTGCAACAAAATGAAAGCCGCACGCGCAGAGTATCGGGCACGCAACAGTGGCGGAAATCCTTCGGCCAATCAGAAGCAAAAAAACGGGACTCGCCAGTGATTGCGGATCTAGCTGGCGAAAAAAAAAGATCCGAAAGCGGCCGCGGATTCCGGAAAAATCAACTTCGACGAAGCTGATTCGACGCGAACAGAGGAAAATGATGGGGAAAATCTCCACCCCACGACCAGTCTTCGCCAGGGAAATCGCCGAGGAAAAATCTAACTCCGCGAAAAAAGACTCTGCCGAGACGGGGAAACTCCTTGAAGACCCAAGAAATTATAAGAATTCGTTAAAGTTATCTTATAAAGATGCTTTAATGAAAACTTATGATTTCGAGGGGCTAGAGCCTTGGAGAAAATTCGGGAGGGACTCCAAAAGAAGCAGAAAGCTGTGGAGATTATACCGGTACCGGACAACTTGGGGACCAAATTAAGGAGTGTGGAAAGAAGCCGACCTTTCCACGGAGTCAACGTCCTCTCCCGACACCAGCCCACAACGACTACCCGTTCCCCAGGGAAGACGTCGGTGGAGCTGAAGCAGCTCAAGAGGAAGCTGGGGGTCTACAAGAAGCTGCAAAACCCCGAACTCCTCCCGGATGCATCCATTCAGCAACTTCGGCATCAACGACGCGCACAGTCGTCAAGGAAACTGGCCCTGGAGAAGAGCCGTTCTCCAAGCAGCCTGGCCAGCTGCCAGCTCAGGAGTAGGAAGCAACGAATATTGGGATGTACCCTATGACCCAATAATGAAACTATCTTTGGGTACTCCGAGCAACGCCTGCCCCTCGTGCTCGAGGTCATCTGCAAAGGACGACGCCTCCAAGCACTCGTGGACAGCGGAGCATCGCACACCGTATGCGACAAGGCAACCATCGACCGACTTCGAGAAGAGTACAAGCCTTCAGATTTCTGCAACGATGGTGGACGGCAGCAAGTTACCAGTACGGCGAAGCAGTGCTACACCTACAAATCGGACCACTGCGCTGGAACCTCTCTCCCATCACCAACATCAAAGGGCTTGACTGATCTTCGGGCGAGACTTCCTCAAAAATTCAACCCCGAGATCAACTGGGTAAACCGCACCGCAAGCATCTACAACAATGGAAGAGTCCAGCTACCCAACTGGGACGATACAGAGATATCCCAGTGGAGACACTCCAGATTCGAGAAGGACGTGAAGCGAACCAACACGGGTTCCTGGCGATAGCAACAGAGGTGGAAATGACGAGAGAAAGCCTCGGAACCTCCAGAAAAAATCAAGGATTACTGAAGGAGTTCCAAGACATTCTTCCGACGACCTCCGACGAGCTACCGCCATACCGAACGCACCAACACGAGATCGTGGAGGAACCAGGTTCGAAGCCGACCTTCCGAGCACCATATCGGCTCAGCCCACAGACTAGCCGACATGAAGAAACAGATCGAGTATCTCCTCGCCAAAGGACTCATCCGACCATCCACTTGCCATACGGTGCCCCAGTACTCTTCGAAACCGGACGGAAGCCTGCGCATGTGCATCGACTACCGAGCTCTCAACAAGCAGACCATCAAGAATAATACCCGATTCCACGAATCGATGACCTGCTTGACCAGCTTCGGGGAGCCACGGTATTTTCAAAACTAGATCTGCGGTCCGGATACTGGCAATACGAATGGCGGACGATTCTGTTCACAAAACTGCTTCCGAACTCGGTACGGATCGTACGAGTATCTGGTGATGCCGTTCGGACTCACCAACGCACTGCAACGTTCCAAGCAGAGATGAATCATCTACGCCCACTCTTGGACGAATGCGTGGTGGTGTACCTGGATGACATCTCATCTACTCGCGCGACATGCAACAAACGTCGAACACTACGACGCGTCTTCGAATTCTTCGACGAGAACGCTTCTACGTCAAACTATCCAAGAGCGACTTCGCCCTCGAGAAAGTCCAATTTATCGACATATCGTAAGCGCTCAAGGAGTTCACGTCGACCCAAGAAAATCGAAGCCGTGCGTACGTGGAAGACACCGAGAACGTGAAGGAGTTACAGCAGTTCCTTGGCTTGCTAACTACTACAACAGGTTCGTGCCACAATACGCGAAAATCACCACGCCACTCACGAATCTGCAAAAGAACACGCCCTATAATGGGAGCCGAAGCACCAGGAAGCCGTGGAGCAGCTGAAACAAGCACTCACGTGCACCAGTACTCATCTTGCCAGACCCGAACGCGACTACGTCATCGAAGCTGACGCCACGACCAGGCAGTGGGAGCAGTCTTGATGCAAGACCAGGGGAATGGACTGCAACCAATCGCCTACCTCAGCAAGAAATTTACACTGGGCAGAACTCAACTCTCCGATACACGACAAGGAGGCCCTGGCTATCATCATCGCCTTCAAAACATGGAGATGCTATCTCGAAGGACGCAAAATGAGTCTACACCGACCATTGCAGGCGTAAAATATTTGAAGACGCAACCAAGCCCTTCCAGGCGACAGGTTCGGTGGATCGCCTTCCTCGAGACGCACTTCCACTACGACATCGTATACAAGCCTGGCCACAAAAACAAAGCAGATGCGCTTAGCCGGCCTACACACGTTGCCGCGATCCAGATTGAAGGGATGAATCCACTCCTCAGGGGACTCTTCACACATGGTACACCATCGACCCTGAAATTCCCTTGGCAGAAAAGCGACATCTGCTACAGTGGGACAACGACATCGCGTACCGGAAAGGATCAACGAAGATCTGGGTACCTAATTACCTCCATTGCGCCAGTTACTACTCGAAGAATACCACGACGTCCTGTACGCAGGACACTTCGGTAGCAACAAGACGCTTACCGGTATCGCCAAACACTACTACTGGCCCCACATGGTAGATGACATACAGAAATTCGTCACCTCGTGCACTACATGTCAGCGGATGAAGAGCAGCAAGCAGAAAAAGGCGGGTCTACTCCAGCCTCTTCATGTCCCAGAACAACCATGGCAAGTGGTTAGCCTGGATTTCATCACCGGGTTACCACCTACCACCGGCGGTCATGACGCAATCCTTGTCGTCATCGACAAGTTCTCCAAAATGGGATACTTCATCCCGACACACACGACAACACGCGCCGAAGAAACAGCACAACTCTTTGTTCGCTACATCATCTCACAACATGGCATTCCAACCACACTCATCTCCGACCGAGACCCCAAGTTCACCAGCAAGTTCTGAAAGGAACTCATGTCTCTGCTCGGGACCAAACTCGCCATGTCATCCGCCTACCATTCGCAGACAGATGGACAGACCGAGCGCCTCAACCAAATTGTGGAGCAACTCCTTCGCGCAGCCTGCAAGGACGACATCTCCAAATGGGACTTGCATCTGCCCGTCCTGGAGTTTTCCTACAACAATGCTACTCATGCCGCTACTGGACAAACGCCGTTCTTCCTCTGTTACGGACGCCACCCACTCACACCTCAACAGCCAAACATACCAGCCACAGTCCAACCCGCTCATGATTTCATCACGACTATGCACAAACTTTGGGATCGGACCCACAAGCGCCTTCTCGACATTCAGCAACAACAGAAGCGCCAGGCCGATCGCCACCGCACAGACCACACCATCAATGTGGGAGATCGCGTACTACTCGACATGCGCAATCTTGACACCAGCCATCTCCCATCCAAACTACGACCTCGCTTTTGCGGGCCTTTTCTCGTTGAAGCACAAATTACTCATGTTACCTTCCGCTTACGCCTGCCAGCTACTTGGAAGATTCACAACGCCTTCCATGTCCAACTCTTGAAGCCCTATCGAGACCCCAACACGGTCTTCACTGGACGCCAACGGCCGCCGCCGCCGCCCGTCCTCGTCCATGATGAACCCGAATACGAGGTCGAGTCCGTGCTTGCTCACCGCCGTCGACGGAATGGCAACGTGGAGCTTCTCATCCGTTGGAAGGGTTATGATCCTTCAGAAGATAGCCGGGTTTCTTAATCTGAGATGGATTACGCTCGTCGTCCTCTTTGCGACTACCTTGTCAAGCAGGGTGTTACGTCTACCACCCAGCTTTGAGGGGGGGAAGTGTGAGAGTACGACCCCGTTCTATTCATTTCTCCTTTTCATCTTCCCTTTCCATTTCATTCCTCTTTTTATCCTGATTCATTTGGTCTTTATCTCATTCCATTTGGATTCCCATTTCCCCTTTTTCATAAAGCTTTGGGTTATCCTGTTATTATCATTATATCACCGACCAGGCTCGGGATGTACTGGCGCGCTATATCTAGCGTAATCCTGTCGTAATCCCTTAAAGCCAATAGCCTCGCATGGCTATACGCAGGGTGATTCTATTTTGTAGAAGGGTCTATTCCCGTGGGATAGGATAAACCTGGTTACCTGATGCACTTTGGAAGTATAAAAGCACGTTGTATCTATCGATAGTGCAACCTTTCCTCGGGACATTCGATTCTGTGACACCCCTTGTCTGAGCACCCTTGCTACCCGGCCCTAGAGACTGCACATACGTATTTAGATACTGTTATTGCATGTTATTCCACTCCCTTATCCGCCTCTGCCGGTCATCTCCTCCTCCCCATGCTCTTCCCTGACCTTGCACCTTTTCTCGTTGTCGCTGATCTCGCCACTTACCTGCACGCACTAGAGGCTAGCTACCGCGCCGCTAGCACTGAGGCTCAGCTCCTTGTAATGCCTCCCCCCCTTGGCGCTACCCTCTACTTCCTTGAGACGCGCCTTCCTGACCACCTAGCCATTGCCCGCGACCACTTCCTTGCCCTCCACCCTGCTAACGTCACCCTCACTGACTTTGTCACTACCCTGACCGCGATAGAGAGCCGCCAGCGCACTATCACTTAGTCGAGCGGTACATCAGCGGTCACTATCTTCCAGGGTTGTGCTCCCTCCCAGTGCACTTACTCTGACGTCTTTGCCACTGTTGCTGAAACGGCCCCTGCTGCTAAGACCACTGCAGTGGCCTCAGCGCAGTCTCGTCAGGGTAGGGGACGCCGGGCCCCGGGGGGGCGTGGTGGCGGGACGGGTGGTGGGGGTGGCGGGGGTGGCAAGGGTGGCAGAGGTGCTGGAGGTGGTGGAGGGGACGGTGGTGCAGACGAGGGGATTGGGGCTGGTGCCTCGGAGCAGCAGCAGCACCAGCCTCCGTAGCAGCCTTAGCAGCAGCAGCAAAAGCTTCAGAAGCAGCAGCAGGAGCTTGTGCAGCAACATCAGTCCTCGCAGCAGTAGCAGCAGTCGCCTTGGGGACCCCCACCGCCGTGGTGGACTTGCGGTGCTGGTGGTGGCGAGGGGCGCAGCTCAGTGTTGGGTGGCGGCTCCAGTGTGGTCACTTGCAAGAACCAGCTTCAGTCCGGCCCCCGCTGCTGCACCGTCTGTGGCCGCCCCGGTCACACCGCCGCACGCTGCTACCGTCGCCTCGACAACCTCTTCCGTCTCCCCTTCAGCCCCACGGCGGACCCCCCGATTGGTACAGCCTGGTGCGTCGTCATGTGCCTGTCTTTGAGATGGACATGGATCAGATTAGGTATGCTTTGTATGCCATGTATGTTGATGACTCTGGTGTGACTCGACCCTATGACCCGGTATTGCCTAGCGAAGGTGTGTCCCCTCTGTGTAGTCTAGGTTCCCCTGCTGTGTCAGGCGTAGGACCCCCTGCCTTGTTTAGCCTGGGCTCCACGCTAGCCCCTCCGCCGGCGGACGCTACTGCTTCGCTCTCCTTCACGCTCGACTATGGAGCGTCTGCCTGCATCTTCCACGACAACACTACGCTCACGCCTCTTACTGCACCTGCCGCTGTCGCGCTTGCTGACCCCTCCTCAGGTCCACTGGTTGCCCGTGCTCCTCTGACCACGTTCCCCCGGGACCCTGTGTCTGGCTTGTTTACGCTTGACACTGCGTCCCCCCCGGTGAGGGCGTCCCCCCAAGTGCCTGCGTCAACCCAGGTCGTTGCGGCTTGCTCATGTCGGTCGCTCACTCACCCGTCGCTGCTCTGGCACCACCGCCTAGGTCACCCCGCACTCCCGCATCTGCGTCACATGTCCCATCACGGTCTTGTCTTCAGTCTCCCTGCGTCGTTCCCTGCCCTTCCTCCCTCGTTTGCGGCGCCGTGCACGTCTTGTGTCGAGGGCCGGCTGCGGCGTACTCCTCAATCCTCCTCTCTTCCCCCTACCACTGCGCCACTCCAGACCGTGCACCGGGACGTCTGGGGCCTAGCCCCCGTCCCTGGGCCGCGTCAAGAGCGCTATTTTCTAGTGCTTGTCAACGACTACACGCGCTACACCACGGTGTTTCTGCTAGAGAGGAAGGCTGACGTGCCGGGCGTTCTTATCCCGTGGGTCGTAGCTGCGCAAGTTCATCGCGGCCTCACTGTGCTGCGTCTCCACTCCGACCATGGCGGCGAGTTTGTCTCCGATCGACTTAGCCAGTTCTGTCGTGCTGCCGAGCATCACCCAATCATACACCCTGCCGGACTCCCCGCAGCAAAATGGGGTCGCTGAGTGACGCATTGGTTTGGTCATGGAGGTGGTTCGTACATCCATGGCGCACCCCATTTTCTGTGGCCGTTTGCTGTTCGCTACACCGCTTACCAGCGTAACCTGTGACCGCACCTCCAGCGGCCGCAAAATTCGTCGACCCTTCTCTGGACTGGGTTCACTGGTGACGAGTTTGCGTTCCACGTCCGGGGCTGCCTGGTTCACATTCGTGCCTCTGGCATGGACAAGCTCACTACTTGCACTGCTCCCTGTGTCTTCCTTAGTTTCCCCCTCGACACGTTTGAATGGCACTTTTACCACCTGCTGTCTCACCGCTTCTTTCACTCCCGTGGCTTCACTTTTGAGGAGTTTGTCTCCTTCTACCACCGCTTTCCCCACTGAGGTCTACCGGTTTCCTCGCCCCTGTTTCTGGTTCCCACTCCCCCGGTAGCCCCTGCTCCTCTCCCTCCCCGTCTTGCCCTGTCTCGTGTGTCTCACATCACTCCCCTCCCATCGGTTGTCCCGGTCGAGGAGTCCGCTGACTCTGGTGGCCCCGCGGCGCCGTTCTCACTGCCTGTCTCTGCCCTGGTGTCTCCTCCACCACCGTCGCAGCAGCAATCGCCGTCGCCGCCGCCGCCGCAGCAGCCGCCGCATGGGTGCGCGAGCTCTGGGGGTGCGGGCGTTGAGGAGGGTGCTAGTCCTGGGGTTCCTATCGTGGCTTGTTCCGGTGGCCTTGGGGGTGGCACTAGTGCCCGAGAGGGTTCTCGTTTTGGGGGTGTTGGTTCTGGGGGTGCCAGCCATGGGGTTCCTGTAGTGCCTCGTCCCGGCGGTGCTGGGGGTGGCCCAGGTGATGGAGAGGGTTCTCGCTCTTAGGGTGTTGGCGTGGAGTGTCCCGGAGGTAGCCGTGGTGCAGCTAGAGGTTGTGGTGTCAGCGCGGAGCAGCAGCATTCGGTCTTCCCTCCCCTGACCACTGCAGACAGAGACACTCTTGCCTCAGTGAAGACTGAGCTGCTAAGGAGACACACGTGCGCTGACCTAGGAGACCTGCGCCGCTACCTTGGGCTGCAGATCTCTAGGGACAGAGCAGCGCGCACCATCACTCTCACATAGTCACACTTGGTACGCCAGGTCCTTCAGAGGTTCGATCTTTCTCCTCTGCGCATCCCACACCTTTTCCAATAGATCACAGGCTCTCGGCCCCAGTCCCTGATGAGTCAGTAGACCCTAGTAGTCCATACACAGAGCTGGTAGGTTGCCTCATGTACCTGATAACTTGCACTCGTCTAGATCTCGCATACCCTTTCAGTATCCTGGCTCACTTCATGGCGACAGGCAGACACCGACCACAGCACTGGTCGGCCGCTAAGAGGGTTTTACGTTATTTAGTAAGTACATCGGGCATGGGGCTAGTGCTAGGAGGGCGCAGGCCAGTGGTCCTGACAAGGCACACAAACGCTTCATGGGCTACTACTTTAGCCTTGTCTCGTGGAGGTCCACCCGCTCATCGTCTGTCCCAGAGTCTAGCTGCGAGGCTGAGATCTACACTGGTGCCATGGCAACACAGGAGCTCCGCTGGCTGACGTTCCTGCTCACAGACTTGGGTGAGCGGCCTAGCTCTAACCCGGTCCTGTACGCTGACAACAGGGCCATGATCCTCCTGTATCAGGAGCCTCGTCTGGAGGGCAGAGCAAAGCACATCTAGCGGCGGTACTTCCTCTAGCGCGAGCTACAGCAGCGATGCCAGGCCCGCGTAGTTTACTTGGCCTCCAGTGCCAACACAGCTGATATCTTTACTAAGGCGCTTGTGCCTAAAGATCATCAGCTGCACTGTGTATAGCTTGGTCTAGTTCCTGTAGCTCCTCACTTTCTAGAACCTTGATTGTGTACTCCTCTTTATATATACCTATCTGACTGGCCTTGTGGCTTTTGCTTCAGTGGCCAGACTAGAAGTGCCGCCCTGGTTTGCTCGTCTTGTTTGTACTCTTCTGACTGGTCTTCAGACCCTTGCCTCAGAGGTTGGACTAGTAGTGCCACCCTGAGCTGCGTGTCTCTTGCCAGGCACCGCCCCTTGTCTAGCCTAGGGGGTGTGTCAACATATATTTGTATATGTTATAGGCTAGATAGGTGCATGCTTATATAGGGTACACCACCATAGCACAAAACCTCCCTGTATGGCACAATCTAACTCATTCCGTTATTCTAACAGTACCTACCGTTATGAGGTGTAGCACTGCCACTTGCCTTGCTTGCGTGTAGAAGGGTGTCCTGTCCTGCTTGCACGTGCACCGTATTTATTCAGTAACTGGGCCTGAAACTTAGCCATGTACGTAGGTACCGTATGTATGTCTCGGAATAATGCATTGAATTGAGTAAGGGATAGGGAACCAGTGCCTATTTTCATGAGTAAATTACTCTGATTCTCTAAAAATCAGAGTTGATTTTGCGTACCACCCTTTCGCTTCTGGGTAAATGTTTGAAATTATAAGTATTTTCTGATTTATCAGAGTTGGCCTGTGTACTAACCTGGGGGATTTTCAATGGAGAGTATACCCCTAGATTATTACTGTACTGTACTCCTTGACGACAGATGCTAGGGATATTAGGCGAATTCCGCCGGACACAGACAAAAATGCCTGTTAGTCCCTCGGCCGAACCCAGGAATTTCGGCTAAGTCCCCACAACTAGAGACATTCCTACCAAGCACCCCCGTCAACCTATTCGGCTAAGTCCCTCACTGCCAGAAACATTTCTACCAAGCACCCTCCCGTATCCTAAAAAATCAGCTAAGCCCCCACGGCCAGAGACACTCCTTCTTGCAGCTATGTTCCCCCAAGAACCTCGTGCAACCCAAAAGTTTCGCGCACTCCTCCACAGCCCGGCACACTACTTTTGGCGTGCTTTGCTGAACCCTAGGTGATGACGAGACACATCACCTCGGGTGCACATCATTTGCTGCCTACGCCGCGACTCTGGATGCGACCCTGAACCTGGCCCTCATTGCCCCACCGAAGGGCGTGGTGCTTAGTTCCGGATCTCGGCTAAAACTGGAACTTGAGCTGGATACATAGTTCGTAGCACATTTCAATAGGGCTTCGTGAATGTCCTTCAGGGCTTCACGAATTCTGGCACTAGTTCCGGATTTTAAAGAACCGGAAATGTAAGCACCATGCCCTTAGAGCGTAATACAAGTGCCTTTGGTTTGGTCGTTCGACTCCCGTTGTAAGGCATTTCCACGAGTGATGTGACTATGGTGGCTGCTTGTACAAAATTGGGCATGACCTGTGCACCATTGTTAATGAAAGTGGCTCTAGGAATGATCCCTTATGATAAGAGTTATTATTTTGGAAACAAAGAAAAACCCCTGAAAAACCAGAGTTTGTGCTCCAGGTAACCCTGAAAATCAGAGTGGCACATATTTCTCTCGTCAAAATCAGAGTAGTGAAAAACCAAAGATCTGCACCATAGGGAACTATATGGTTGGGTGTTGTACTCTCTAAAGTATGAACCCTTGTAGCCTATAACTGCTACATATACAATATACAGTGGCAGGAAAAACTGCCCGGATGTTTAGCATTTTTTTGCACTTTGATGAGCTGTACAATGTCAACATTAAGCCTTAATCCATGGTGGCCATACACGTAGAGAAGAGCAGTCAGAACACTCACTCAAGTCTCCTAAAACCAGAGTAGTATTATACATGGTCCTTAAACACAAAAGCATTCAATAACAGCACATCCAGACAATTTGTACCGAGGACATGCAACAAACTAGAAACTAACAAAACTAGTACCTAATATAGCGTCCCTTTGTGCGAATCACCGCCTTGATCGTCCTTGGCATACTGTCGATGAGGTTCGAGCACACTTCCACCGGAATCTTGTCCCATTCCTCTTGCACCCTCTCCCACAGCTCCAACATTCCAATGGGAGGCTTTTCGTATTTCGTCAGCTCCCTTTTCAAGTGTGCCCACATGTGCTCTATCGGGTTAAGGTCTGGGGAGGATGAGGGCCATTCCGGCACCGCAAACTGTTGCTCCCCAAGCCAGTCTTGCACCAGATGTGACTTGTGCTTGGGATCATTGTCATGCTGGAAGATGACCTCTGAGGGGGGGAGCTTGTAAAAGTCGATGGTTTGAGACACCTCGTCTTGCAAGATGCTGCGATACAGCGGCCCATCCATCGATCTTGCACATGAACCCC